TACATTAAACATTTGTTGAGACGATTCAACTGTTAAAAAACGTAATTCTGACCCGCCCAGTGAAACATAATTATACAGCGGGAACCGGGAGCTGAAAACCGATGCAGGAAGAGCGTTACACTAGCCTGAAGGAGCCTTACATAAGACCGACACGTGGGAAATTCATTTATAACTTTCTCTCCAATCTTCCTGTTCTCGATACTGAAATATTCTACTGAAAAGGCCTCAGAACAAAAAACCATTGCATCCTGAAATTTCTAAAAAACAATTAACAACTCTGTTCTTCTTTCTCAAATAAGACACCAACGAAATTATATGAGTGACTATGTATCCATCGAATGTTTGTGACCAACAAGGAGTAACTCAATTCAATCAAGATTGCTAGTAAGCGGCAGTAAGCAAACACTTAAACCGTGCATCGACTGTGTTTGAGTCTGGCACGGCGTGTGAGAATCTTCAAAGCCATGGTCCACAAGACAGAAAGACCTGCCAATTTGATAGAGTTCCTTCATACCTATCTTCAGATGTTGTCGGGAACCGAAGAACCTGACCAGAAAAAGTTTAACCCGAGTTCCATCTTCTGTCATTGATCTGTCCAGAACAAAGGAGCACGGACGTGAGGTTCTTCTTCTGTGGCTGATTTCTTCTAATCAGTTTCTATTTGCTGGGGCTGTTGTATCAGCTCCTAGAAAGATGGGTGATCATTCGTGATGATGCTTAGGCAGGACATTTTCCTACTCTAGAGGAGACCCTTCTCCAAACCGATGACGCTTAATATGATCATGTGTCGCCCTGGGGGATGTTTATGTCACGGACGTTTTTATCTGAAATTAGATTCAAATTCGTCATGAAATTGGAATACCTCAGGTGTTAAAATTGGAGAAATTGATTTTTGTGCTTGGGGAGGTTTGTCTTCATCTTCATTGAAGAATATTTTAATGGTAATTGATTGAAGGGGATAGTTTCGCCATACAGACGTATTTAACATTTTTAACAGTGGACAAGCTCCACGATCTTAGTTGTGTTTGTTGTTTAATTCAGCTCTCATTAATATTTCAGCTATATGACGGCTGTCTGTAAAAACGAGTATGGATCAGACAAGCCAATGATTGACATCATGAGCATCGATATATGATATGAGCATGAACATCGATCTATGGATAGGGTGACATGCGCCACCAAAGTCAGCGAGCCTGACCAACCGATCTCGTTATCTCGTTAGTTGCTTCTTATGGCAAGCATGTGTTGCCGAAGACCAATTGTAACCCTCATTTCACGGGGTCTTGATTGTAGTAAACTGCCAATTTAGTTCATGCAATACTTGTGCTCCAGCGACTTGTTTCAAGTTAAATGTTTCAAGCTGCATGTAGAACCGGGTGGGGATGGGTCCCCAGCATTATATTTGTCGTGGTAAGAGACTATTTAATTAGATCGGTTGGTCTGACTTGGTGGCATTGTTTATTGCGTGTCACAGCACCCTGAATATCAACCACTGGTTTGCCTGACCCATACTCGATTATTCACAGATCGCCGTGACTGCAGCGTAAAACAACACAGAAAAGTGTGAATTTCTTTTGAAAAGTAACAGTTGTGAGTTGTGGTGAGCTGTTGCCCTCACTGTTCTCAATGTGTTACCCATTGGACATAAATAACCCACGATGTGATCAGCCAGTTAGTGAACGACTATTGGCAACGACATTCCATGATTGATTGCTATCATTTGTAAATAGCATTTTGTCGATTTCTTCCAATATGTAATTAGTAAACACGCAGAAATTATACACTTGCAAGCTAATTATAGATATTTACGCTTCACTGTTCTAATGATTGATACAATGGCGTGAAACTTGGTAGCCTACCTATTGGACTTCTGTTTAAAGTCAGCCCCTGTCTCGAGTGCCTATTATGATAACAACGTATTTGCGATGGGGCAGATCGAAAGCCTATAAATTGCTAAAATCCACAGTACCCATCCTTCTAATTACGTTTAGCACTTAGAGGGGAATTGCCTCAGTTAACGGCCTGTGTGAAAACCCTAACGTCACTGAAGACATATTTAGGGCAGTGTAGTTAGGAATAAGTCTGAATTTTCTCCTCATATACAATTCTGTGCAGTTAAAACGAAATCGTTTCGGTCCCCATTGAGTAGTAACCTCGATGCTAGGGCAGTTTTGTTTCCAGCACTCGCAGTAATGAAAGGGGAAACTTGGATGTTTCCTTAGAAGCACATTATTTGCCTTCCTCTTATATGAAACATAAGTGCTTACACTTACTTGGAAGTACTGGCTGATTAGAAAATGAAACCCATCTATCCAAGGATTCCTTGCCCATCTTCTTATTGATACTTCCTCGCCGTATCCATTGCTTGTTGTTTATTTATCTGTTGAATTTTAAACTTAAATCAATATTATTGGATTTGTGTGTGCAATTGTTTAGTTATATGATACACATTCTTGTTTGGTTAGTACAGACACGATTGATCTATCTTACAGACAAGCACTCATCATTTTTCACCCACCAGTTTTTTCCATCTGTTGAAATGGCCAGTTATTAGATATAAGACACGTGGATGATTATTATCCAGAACTTACAGTATTATATGTCAATCCAGGATCCATAAGCTTACATATGTCCATTCATCAGTTGTTCCTTCTTCTGTTCTTTGTGTCATCTGACTGACTTACGGTCCATTTCGTAAAATGCCTCTTCATTTGTCTGTTGCCATTTCAAATGATAAGAAACACATTCTTGTGTGACGTTTATACGTACGATCCATCAAGCCACCATTTTCCATTGTCTATTACTCAACATTTTGCAATTACTTGAATTTTGCAATCAAACACTTATCTATGTGTGTATCAGAACCAAGGCCAATACGTGAAAACACACATATACTGAACACAAACACAATTATCAGAATTCTTCAGTTCGTGGAAGTTATGTCTTTGGAAAGTTACCAGGGATGACTTGCAAATTAGTAACAAATCACTGTGCTTCCAGCTGCACTTGTAATCATTTCGTGTTTTATCACTAAAATACTGGCGTTTAGCTGCATCAGATTTGATCACTGTATGGAAATAGCTTCGTCTCTTGAAGAACTAGTTGAGGCTATTCGTCACGTCCTCAAAATGCTGAGCGAGCAGAGATAATGTTTCTTAATAAGTGTTTTGGCCGAGAGCGTCCACAGCAAATATATGGGAGTCATAATCTCCACCTCTCAGTCTGCCCAATCGATTTCATGAAGTGATCAACAGGAAATTGTTTATAAATCTATTGTGCTTCATCATTCTCAACTTTTTCAACATTCGCCTTTACACACAAGAGTCATGTTAGAACACAGCCCCGAAAACCAGATGATGTAGTATTATAGAAGTTTAAGCAATACAGCCCAAAGACCAAAATACAAAATATTAACAAAAATACATTAAGCATATTTTGAAGTATAGACAGATTGTAACTTCACATCCGTCCTCAAGCCACCCAAAGACAAGGCCCTCGGTGATTAAAAAACAGATATATTTCAAAGTTATGTATTTATAATTATTCTGCAACATTAAGCATATGTAATATGTGTTTAGATAAATCATGAACAGTTTTAGGATGCGCATCATGTTACAAATTAATAAACAGTAGCACATATGGCAATCTACATTAATAATCAGATGTTTTCCAAGATTGGTAATACTATTATAAAAAGGACACACCATAACAACATGGTTTGGTTTGCTTTGTTTGTTGTTTAACGCCGCACGCAGCAATATTCCAGCTACATGTATATGACAGCGGTCTGTAAATAATCGAATCTGGACCAGGCAATCCAGTGATTGATATCATGAGCATCAACTCACGCCATTGGGAGCGATGACATGCTTCAACCAATTCAGCGAGCCTGACCACCCAATCCCATTAGTCGCCTCTTACGACAACAACGTGGTATTCATCTTCCAATTCATTAAAAGATGCGATTTTCAAATGCAATCTTGAAATTTGCCCACATTCCCTTTTCAGTCATTAGATTATGAGAACCCCCTCTGGACCAAGTTAAGACTATTCTGTATTTGGTGACATCAATTAATGTTCATTTTCCATAGTAAGGGAATATTTAATATTCAAATGTTGTCTAGTTCCACGAAGCGACATGAACAGCTTATTCTACATTTACGTATGCACATCTATTATCCTTTGCTTTAATTCATTTGAAAAAGTTAATTATCTTATCTTATTATTACTTTCTGAGACAGCCGCACATACCCACAACCATACTGAAACGTTACTTCTTTAATCAAGGTAACCCAACTCATATATTCTGGTTTTTAAGGAGCTTTATCTTACAAAGTTTTGTATTTACTGAATGGATTTACCTCTCTTGACCACAGCTGAGAATTTGCAACCAATGTTTCACCATACGAGTCAATCTAATAGAATATATCACGGAAGCACGACAATTTTACCATAAACAAAATCTAACGGTGATTTTCTGACTCCATATATTTGTTTAATAAGCTTCAAATGCACCCTTTCAACAGTTGGTACTTCCATTAAACCCAAAACCTCACATCCATAACTTGATATTGGTCTCCTTTTGTTATTGTAAGAGGGTTAAGCAAATAAGGTGGCTGCATCCCCACTTGGTTGTATAACCCTTGGTTCCGCATCCGGTACCAATACCATAAACAAGTAGTGACAATCATCACACTCGTCGTGACGTCGATCAGCTGGAATATATATTTCAGTATTAAACTTTAATCAACAACCCAGTCAATTTTCTGTATTTTTTCGACTGAAAGTATCTGTCCGGGAAACTGACAAAAATGATTTTCATCCATGTTTGCACAACACGATGAAAATTTGGAGAGGAAACATTTAATCTTAATGTATGACGAAGCCATAAGAGTTATGATCGTTGATGTGTTGTTAAAATAAAAACAGCACATCCACCAACTACGATGTTGAGTCTTATTTCTGCGCCAGGTAAATTGTTATGCTTGTACTTCTTACAGCTCGCCACAATGAACAGACTGATGGCAATATGCCAACCCGCTCCACCAGGGACAAGAGGGCCGCCTCCAGACTCAACCTGGGCGGGGACAAGGGAATTGGAGCTCACAGATCAGTGAGTATACGGATAATAAACCTTCCCCCATAGATAATAAAACTGACTGAAAATGAAGAATGTACAGTTGGGTAGAGAGTTAGAGATAGTGTGTGGTGTGGTGTGTGGTTTGAGTGTGTGTGTTAAGTGTGTTAATAATTAGTGTGTGTTTGGGGTGTTTATAATTAGTGTGTGTTTGGGGTGTTTATAATTAGTGTGTGTTTGGGGTGTTTATAATTAGTGTGTGTGTTTGGGGTGTTTATAATTAGTGTGTGTTTGGGGTGTTTATAATTAGTGTGTGTGTTTGGGGTGTTTATAATTAGTGTGTGTGTTTGGGGTGTTTATAATTAGTGTGTGTGTTTGGGGTGTTTATAATTAGTGTGTGTGTTTGGGGTGTTTATAATTAGTGTGTGTGTTAAGTGTGTTAATAATTAGTGTGTGTGTTTGGGGTGTTTATAATTAGTGTGTGTGTTTGGGGTGTTTATACTTAGTGTGTGTTTGGGGTGTTTATAATTAGTGTGTGTGTTTGGGGTGTTTATAATTAGTGTGCGTGTTTAGGGGTGTTTATACTTAGTGTGTGTTTGGGGTGTTTATAATTAGTGTGTGTGTTTGGGGTGTTTATACTTAGTGTGTGTTTGGGGTGTTTATAATTAGTGTGCGTGTTTGGGGTGTTTATACTTAGTGTGTGTTTGGGGTGTTTATAATTAGTGTGTGTGTTTGGGGTGTTTATAATTAGTGTGTGTTTTGGGTGTTTATACTTAGTGTGTGTTTAGGGTGTTTATAATTAGTGTGTGTGTTTGGGGTGTTTATAATTAGTGTGCGTGTTTAGGGGTGTTTATACTTAGTGTGTGTTTGGGGTGTTTATAATTAGTGTGTGTGTTTGGGGTGTTTATAATTAGTGTGTGTTTGGGGTGTTTATACTTAGTGTGTGTTTGGGGTGTTTATAATTAGTGTGTGTGTTTGGGGTGTTTATAATTAGTGTGCGTGTTTAGGGGTGTTTATACTTAGTGTGTGTTTGGGGTGTTTCTAATTAGTGTGTGTGTTTGGGGTGTTTATACTTAGTGTGTGTTTGGGGTGTTTATAATTAGTGTGTGTGTTTGGGGTGTTTATACTTAGTGTGTGTTTGGGGTGTTTATAATTAGTGTGTGTGTTTGGGGTGTTTATAATTAGTGTGTGTTTGGGGTGTTTATACTTAGTGTGTGTTTGGGGTGTTTATAATTAGTGTGTGTGTTTGGGGTGTTTATAATTAGTGTGCGTGTTTAGGGGTGTTTATACTTAGTGTGTGTTTGGGGTGTTTATAATTAGTGTGTGTGTTTGGGGTGTTTATACTTAGTGTGTGTTTGGGGTGTTTATAATTAGTGTGCGTGTTTGGGGTGTTTATACTTAGTGTGTGTTTGGGGTGTTTATAATTAGTGTGCGTGTTTAGGGGTGTTTATAATTAGTGTGTGTTTGGGGTGTTTATAATTAGTGTGTGTGTTTAGGGGTGTTTACACTTAGTGTGTGTTTGGGGTGTTTATAATTAGTGTGCGTGTTTAGGGGTGTTTATACTTAGTGTGTGTTTGGGGTGTTTATAATTAGTGTGTGTGTTTTGCGTGATTGAAATTAGTGTGTGTTTGGGGTGTTTATAATTAGTGTGTGTGTTTAGGGGTGTTTACACTTAGTGTGTGTTTGGGGTGTTTATAATTAGTGTGCGTGTTTAGGGGTGTTTATACTTAGTGTGTGTTTGGGGTGTTTATAATTAGTGTGTGTGTTTGGGGTGTTTATACTTAGTGTGTGTTTGGGGTGTTTATAATTAGTGTGCGTGTTTGGGGTGTTTATACTTAGTGTGTGTTTGGGGTGTTTATAATTAGTGTGTGTGTTTGGGGTGTTTATAATTAGTGTGTGTTTGGGGTGTTTATACTTAGTGTGTGTTTGGGGTGTTTATAATTAGTGTGTGTGTTTGGGGTGTTTATAATTAGTGTGCGTGTTTAGGGGTGTTTATACTTAGTGTGTGTTTGGGGTGTTTATAATTAGTGTGTGTGTTTGGGGTGTTTATAATTAGTGTGTGTTTGGGGTGTTTATACTTAGTGTGTGTTTGGGGTGTTTATAATTAGTGTGTGTGTTTGGGGTGTTTATAATTAGTGTGCGTGTTTAGGGGTGTTTATACTTAGTGTGTGTTTGGGGTGTTTCTAATTAGTGTGTGTGTTTGGGGTGTTTATACTTAGTGTGTGTTTGGGGTGTTTATAATTAGTGTGCGTGTTTGGGGTGTTTATACTTAGTGTGTGTTTGGGGTGTTTATAATTAGTGTGTGTGTTTGGGGTGTTTATAATTAGTGTGTGTTTGGGGTGTTTATACTTAGTGTGTGTTTGGGGTGTTTATAATTAGTGTGTGTGTTTGGGGTGTTTATAATTAGTGTGCGTGTTTAGGGGTGTTTATACTTAGTGTGTGTTTGGGGTGTTTATAATTAGTGTGTGTGTTTGGGGTGTTTATACTTAGTGTGTGTTTGGGGTGTTTATAATTAGTGTGCGTGTTTGGGGTGTTTATACTTAGTGTGTGTTTGGGGTGTTTATAATTAGTGTGTGTTTGGGGTGTTTATAATTAGTGTGCGTGTTTAGGGGTGTTTATAATTAGTGTGTGTTTGGGGTGTTTATAATTAGTGTGTGTGTTTAGGGGTGTTTACACTTAGTGTGTGTTTGGGGTGTTTATAATTAGTGTGCGTGTTTAGGGGTGTTTATACTTAGTGTGTGTTTGGGGTGTTTATAATTAGTGTGTGTGTTTTGCGTGTTTGAAATTAGTGTGTGTTTGGGGTGTTTATAACGAACGTGTATGTTTATTGTGTTTATAATTAGTGTGTATTTGGGGTGTTCATTATTTATGTGTGTTTGGGGTGTTTATAATTAGTGTCTGTGTGTATTGTGTTTATAATTCGTGTGTGTTTGGGGTGTTTTAATTAGTGTCTGTGTTTAATGTGTTTATGATTTGTGTGTGTTTGGGGGTGTTTATAATTAGTGTCTGTGTGTATTGTGTTTATAATTCGTGTGTGTTTGGGGTGTTTTAATTAGTGTCTGTGTGTATTGTGTTTAATGATTTGTGTGTATTTGGGGTGTTTATGATCATTGCCTTTGGGGTGTTTTCAATAAGTGTGTGTGTTTAGTGTGTTTATAATAAGTGTGTGTTTGGGGGGTTTATAATTAGAGTGTGTGTTTATAATTAATGTGTGGTGTTAGTGTGTGACGTGTATGTTGTTAGCGTGTGGTGTGTGGTTCGTTTGCAGCGTGTTGCTGGGTTACGGCTAAGGCAGATGATATATATATTAGTAACAAATACGAGAAAGCACCAACCGCATCAGGTTAATATAACTCAATACGTTTTATATCTGTTATATTTTTCGTTTCGTCCTGTTACGTCTGAGACAAAGTGACATATTGGCATGCACTCCCTCATGGGGTAGTTTTGGTAGTATTGTAGGCCATAAATGCAATTTGTGAATTACATGAATATAGCTGCGTGATATTGCAGAATTATTTCCTCCATTAGAACATTACTTTCACGGGTATGACAGCATTGTGCAAACATTGATTCCACTGAACCGAGGGGCTGAATTGCATGTTCATTCAATCTAAAGTAACAATGGCTTTTGATCTCGTGATTCATTTGGATTCCCACATATCATATCTCCTACAAATTGGATTTTGTACCAAATAATGTTTTGCTAAATATAATAAATGCACTATAAAGGAGACACGTTGTCTTCATTTGTTAAACTTGAAAGCTGTCAAGCATGGAGTTTTCAAGTATTGAATGCCATTTGTATTGACATTTTCTGGAAGTGCAACAAGTTTGTTTGACATCAGTATTTACACATTTTTAATGTAGGGTTAACCAGCCCAGAGATATTTACTTCTCGTTTTCCATTCCTGAATCTCGAAACGAAAACATTAGCGTTATTGATGCTGCTCCAGTTCAACCCTTTGGAGACAGTAAATTCACTGAACGTTAGTTAAAGCTCAAAGGCCTAACTCATTCCCTACAGGCCTTCATTACCTAATTGTGATCAGAGCCGATCTGGAGGAGTGACTTCCGATATCTTATCAGCACAGGAGACATTTTGGCCCTTTTATTTCTGAATCAATAGCCGCTACCACATTCCCATATTGTATATCGGAATGATTATGCTTCAGCGGCCACCAATGTAAGATGAGTTTTAAATGAGCGTATTTCATGGTGAAGAGTCCAAGTCAGCTCTGACGGTGATACTCACCCGTCCTTTGAAACGTGAACACGGGGTCTATTTCGAATGGTATTCTTTTACGACGTTTCCACTAAACATTACATGTATATGTAAAGACATATTATTTTATAATGTGGATGGAGGCTATCTTGCCAAGAATATGCAAATGACATGAAATTGCGTAGAATAATATATGGCGTAATTTTACTCTGTTTACTGACGATGACGATCGTTTGGCCCGCCTGTGGATCTCGAGGTACAATTTGGGATGGAATTATGATGAAAATGAAAACAACTCAATCGCTTAATAATTACCCATGAATGTGCACATGGTCTGCAGAGGAGGGCTATAGAGGTATGTGGGAAACATAGGTCATCAACTAGCTGTCTGGTTTGATGTTTCATCGTACCCAACATGACGTTGTTGCTCACTCTATCGATGACTGATAACCTACACCTGTAAATGATCGAGCTATTACTGACTACGGAATAAGAAAACCTTCTCATCTTCGAATATTCATAGTCAAGACCAAAAGATCACTTTATTTTCCTCGTCAATATTTTAATGGCGCAGTTATACTACTCACGCCGTTAAGAAGTAACGCAAATTGTATGCACTCAAGGAAAATATACAGTTACCGAAAGTCTCCAAATGTGGTTTATTTGCGAACATGCAGACAGCGAATATGTTGTAACACTCTGTGACGTAAACAAATATGCTTGGAATACCCGCATATAGACTCAAGGTTGACCAGGTTTGACCTTATATCTTGTAAAATTTGAATAATTAGAGTATTTGTGAATATCTGTC